AATCGATAAGCTGAATGAAAATTCTGCAATTCTCCATTATTCTGGATCTTGTCTACATTTTCCATTTCAGCCATTACAAAAATGTGCAATTAAGGCACAAAAACAAAGACTATGATGGAACTTTAGGGTTGGGCAGCAATGAAGGTTGTGATGGAATTCTAGGGTTAGGCAGTAATAAAGGCTGTAATGAAAATACATGGTCAGAGGCTCCCAAGGATCGAGAGCTCTGATACCATCTTAAGAAGCGGGCTTTAAGCCTAATTCAACCCCACAAAATCGGCTTGTATGGTGAGGTTTGCACCCCACTTATATATTATAATTTGGCCTTATATCTAGTCAATGTGGGACTTCCAACACACACCCTTCACACCAAGGTATAGATATCTCGAGCATGATAGTAGAAATTAATGGGTGGTCCGATAGTGGCCCGACAACGGGTGGAACAAATTACCCACATAAATTTGGTTAGGATAGACTCTAACATGACTCTGATACCATATTAAATTTAGGAGAGAGGATATATATTTTATTATCTGTCTCCTTACATGCATTGGATATATATACAAGAGCTTATTTAATGAGAAGCCTATTCTACGGAACAAATCCCTAAAATTGTGGGATTGTTATTCTAGTAATAATAGCAAGATAATAATAGCAAGATACAGGGAATATAACAAATTAACTACATGGGAGTAATGTCTAAAGTTTCCTAAAATATATTTTGACAGGAACCATAATAATAACTCCTAGACAACCAGATCCCTATGATTCAAGGATATCCCCATTATTCCAAATAATTATAATCTGCTAAATAAGGAAAAAAATATAACTAATAAGAAACAATGATTCTAATAGAAATAAAACAGATTCTAACACAATGAGACTTACATAGAATGCATCCTGCATGGGCCATCCTCCACGTAACCTAGATATATCCTTTGTGATCGTATCCCTTCCAGCAGTAGCCAGGACTTCATCAAAAACAGTTTTTGAGCTAGTGTTTTCAGCCAAAGAAGAAATCTTTAGCAAGTAAAGGATAAATTTGCCAGTAGAAAATGACAGACACCAGAAACATTGAAGTAAAATCAGAGACAGGTATCAATTATCACTGAAACCCTAGCCTATATCAGGATGATACCAAGACTATGTATGATCATAAGAAATGCAGAAGATCGAAAAATTTGATATGGGCAAATTCAAGAGTTACCAATTTTCTCCCAGGTCAAAGCAAATTCCTTCCCATCTCACAACCTCCCACAATTTATACTGTCTCTTTCCATCATACAACACAAGCACACCCCATGATCTAGCTTAGTTAGAATATTCACTCTCCTAATTTTGATCAAGTGCTGCACATTTTCATACTTCTTACACACTGTCATTATTTAATAGGGGATCCATTAGTGAACAGCTTGAAAACAACATATACCGATTATATATGAGAGAGAAAAACAAACAATACCTTCCTAACAAATTAAAATTATGACAAGATATTCAATGAAATATGTCAACTTTAAAAATATTAAAAGGATACAGCTCCAAGAGTTTCCACACGCAAATGCTTGTCAGTTGCATGCACAACAGCAGAGATCAATGATTGGGTTGTCCTGTGGGCAAAAACATTATGTCATGTCACCATAACCTATGCTCAAAATTACAAGTTCAAAAGACAGTACGATATCAACAAAGTTCAAGTAACATTGTGTTGGTGTATACACTATGCTTTAAACCTTGAGATATCAATTTCAGTCAATTCCCCCCCTCTCTTTGTAACAAATTCAACAACAGCTTGAATAGCCCCTTCAGCTGACTGCTTGATCTTATCACATATAGCAACTGAGCAACCATGCAGTGTAGCCACCATCTGCACACCAGTGCCAACACAGTTATTAAATGTAACTTAGACATGATCAATACACAACTTGAGAACAAAGAAAAATAGTTCTGAAGGGCTTGGAACTTGGAAGACCATCTCAGTTCATTATTATATAGATAAAAAGCTGATACATAGATGAGGAGATGAAGAAGATTGTCCTAGATGCTGAGGAACAATCATTTAGAAACCCAACACACAACTACCCTACTTTAGGCCTCCATGCTTATAATCAAGGTAGGAATAATAATTATTCTAACACTCCCCCTCAAGCTGAGCAACAAATTGGATGTACCAAGCTGGAACAAATAAACCAATCCGAGGGCCCCTGAACGAACTAGTCCAACACATCTCGAGTGTATTGATCCACAAAACAGTACTATTTCTTTTGCATAATTGTTGCCAAACAAAATGACAACAATTTCCTATATGTTGGGTTCTCTCGTGAAAATGGATTTGATGCACAACTGGAAGAGCAGTTTGGTTATCACAATCATCTTCATACTCTGGATGTCACAGAAGTTAAGGCTCTTGAAGGAACTGCTTCACCCAATAAGTTCACATGTTAATGAAGTCATTGCCCTTATATTCAGCCATTAGCTGTGATCGAGCCACTACATTTTGTTTCTTACTTTCATAGATTAGGTTTCCTCCAAGGAAAACACAATATCATGTAGTAGATCGTCTATCAATAGGAGAACCTGGCATCACAATATCCTGATACTTGAAGGCTTCCTTTTTCTTCATATAACAGCTCTTGCCCAGGAGCCTTTTTCACATACCTTAGAATGCGAATGATAGCATTCCAATGGCCAACACATGGAGTTGCTTAAACTGGACTAACACTCAAACTGCAAAAGATAATCCGGCGGCTTGTAATAGGAGATAGATTAGTGTTCCAAATAGCCTCGTATATCTTCCGGGGGGTCGGAGAATAATCACTTCTTCTGTGTAATTGTGATTTGAAGCCATGGGCTATCAACCGGGGTCTACAATCAATCATGCCTGTTTCTTGCAGAATACCAGAGCATAATCCTGTGGGAGATTACCAACTCCAGCTTTTGACTGAGCTACTTCAATGCATAGGAAAGTTTGAGGCTCACAAGATCCTTGGTTTGGAAAGGTATACACAAGTACTCTTCAATTGAGATCTTCCAGCAGTATCATTTCATGTAATAACTATATCATAACATATACTATTCAAGTAAACCACATTTCCGAGAGACGAATGATAAAAAGACTGAAATGATAGGTGCACTACGTTTTAGCCCAAATTTGGAACAATGGAGCTAAATTTCCCAACACGCACGT